TGTCAAATAAGGCACTATAGCTAAAGTACTTTGTAAAGCTTAAAGTGTCATATAAATGCTAGCTATTGGGGTAGTTTTTGTGTAATGGTAGGGCACTGGATTTGGAGTCCTTGAAGCCTGGGTTCAAATCCTGCCTCAGACACAACCAAGCCCTTTAACTTCTTAGCCCGAGTTTCTTCATCTGTAAAATTGGGACAGTAGTGATGCCTACCTCCTAGGGCTGTTGTGAGGACCAAAGAAGATGACTTTCTGTAAAGCCTTTTGCAAACCTGAACCCCCAACATAAGTGTCAGCTCTACAGAGTGCTGGGAGGTTGGGAAACAGAGTTCAGGGGATTAGGAGCCGAGCCTGGAAGGGAGTCGGGGGTCCCAAGAGGGAGGGAGGGCATTCTGGGGAAGGGGCAGGAGATGGGACGTCAAGGGCAGAGGACAAGTCGGCCGCTTTGGAACGTAGGGCAGATGAGGGGGCCTAGAGTGAAACCATCTGGAAAGAGAGGCTGGAGCCAGGTTATGACGGGTTTTAAATGACCCACAGAAGATGCCGTATTTTATTCCAGAGACAGCAGGGAGGGCTCCTTGAGCAGGGCACTGGCATGGGCAGATGCGTGCTTTAAGAATGTCACTTGGGCAGCTGTGTGGAGGATGGAGTGTGGAGGGGACAGTGACAGGGTAGCTGGGATCTGATGCTGAGGGAGCTCCCAGGACCTGGGAAAGGTCCTAGAATCCAGCCCTTTGCCCGTCCCCATCCCATAGACCAGTCTACTGGCAGGGACTTAAATCTGCTTCATCTTAAAGAGGAGGCAATTGGACCCAGAGATGGGGAATGACTTGTATGAGGTCACACAGGAGGCTGCGGAGCTGGCACCCAAATCCTCGTCTCTTTTGGCTAGTCTCCCTGCCTTCTGTTTCTTTTTCAGGCCTCTTTTGTCCCCCAGCCACCATAACCAAGTCTTAGAATGTGTCTTTGTGCCTCAGTTTCCTCTATCTGTTCAAGGTAGAGATGGATCTCCATGAGCTGAGACCCTCCTCGGAATAGGCCCTGGGCCCTCCCAAAGCTCTACCGGGAAGTGGGCAAGTTTTTCTTCAATGTTTCCCCTTTCTGCCCATCCAGGCACCATGAGCAGCAGCCTTGTATCTGACACCAGGTTTTCTGATTCCAAACTGTGGCCTCTTTCCATCCATCTTGAGCTGTCACACTTGCAAAGGAAGTAGTGCATTTTGACAGGGACACTGCTCACAGTGGTAGGAAGGAGGCTGCATTTGGGGGTCAGAGGACCTGGATTTGAATCCTAGTTCTGCTCCCTACTACCCATGTGACCTTGACCAGATCATCTCAGCTTGGGCTGAGGTTCTAAGGTTCCACCCAGCACCGTGTCCTATGAGTCTATGATTCAAAGTCTCATCCTAAAGGAATAAAAGTCTAACCACAGAATTTTGGGCATCAGACATAGAGGAGAAGAGACCATCTCAGCACAACTGAAGATGTAGCTGAAGATCTAAGTGATCAGGAGTGGAAGGGAGGGAGTGGTGCAGTAAAAATGGAGGTCTCCAAAGAGGAAAGGTCTCAGTTGTGGTGAGACCTTTGCAGAATCATTTGGAGGGGACGGATCAAGGTCACAGGGGAACTATTCTATCCCCTCTAGGTTAGCTCTGGCCAATAGGCCTTCGAAGACTGCTCCCCGCTCCCCCAGTTCCCCCTTGAGGTTTTTCCCTCTCCCTCAACTCTACCCCCCTCCTCCTCAGGCTGTGGCCTGACCATCAGGCCCTTGGGTGCCGGCCGGCCTCCTTGGGATAGAGCCAGAAGCTTATAAATAAGCTTCTGCAAGGCCCAAGCAGGCGTCTGCTCCGCTCCGGCCCCCACTGTCCCCCACTCCGAAAAGCACCGTTTCCCTTTTCTGGGTGACCACATGCCATGCACAGGGAATTTCCAGTACTGAGTGGAGCCTCTGATTCACTCTGTCCCCAAAGACAGTTAACTCCTTCTGGGAACCAGGCTGGCCTGAGGCTCACATTTACCACTGTCTTCAACTTGTGTTGGCCTTCATTCCCTCCCCATCTTCACCCCCAATTCACTTGTGCATTTAGGGCCTCCAGCATAGCCAGCTCCTCATCTTCTCCCCAACTAGCACCATGAGATATCTCTCCGAACTAACCTGTCCCCTTCACAGGACCCCACGCATACCCACCCCCTTCCTGGGCTTCCTCTTGTACAGGGCTCACACACACACACACACACACACACAACACACACACATACACACACACAACACACACACACACACACACGCGTGCGCCTCTTACTTTCTACCCCTTTGTTCTGTCCACTCAAACTCCAAGTTGGGAGGTGGGAGAGCTATGTGGGGAGAGGGTGGAAGGGAGAGGTCAAGTTCGAAAAAAGCAAGAAGGAAGTGGAGGAATGCATGTGGGAGAGAGGTCTAGATCACACTAGAAGGGAAAAATTTGTTTTTCCATTCTCCGTTTTCCTCTTTGTCCCCCAGAGGGTGTCCAGTTACTTTCAGGAGGGAAATTAAGCCCTTTCCCCATTCCCTCTCTCACCTCCCAGGCAGGGGGAAGGACAAAGGCAGGCCATGGGACAGAACATGGGGGGAGCTTAACGTCAGCGGGGGGGTTTGGAGCTCAAAGTTGTGAGCTCATAGACTATAGGACCAGCCGAAGATGAGGGGGAAGGTTCCTTAGAGTCCATCTGGTGCATCCCCGTTCTTTTAGAGACAAGGAAACTGAGTCTCAGAGAAGAGACTTGTCCAAGGTAGTGTAGGCAGCGGCAGAACCAGATTTAGAACTCGGGTTCTCTGATTCCAAATCTGTCATTCTTTTCCCTGGCTCAGGTCTCTAGAGGACACAGGCCTCTAGCACTGGACCAATAGAATGTAAATTTCTTGAGAGGAGGGAGCAAGGAGCTTCTTGATTTTTTTTTGCTTTGTTTTTGTTTTGGCATTCTTCTAGGCCACACAGTGCCTGGCATATCCTAGGTGCTCAATAAATGCTCATTGCTGGGTTGACTGGGCACACACGGGGATTAAGGTTCAATCATTATTTACGAGGATGGCAGTGGTTGTGATTGGGGAGACAGTAAGGCCCTAGGGGGGAAATGGGGGTGAAGGGTGGGGGCTTGAAAATTCTGTTATATGAGATGGTTACTTGGGAGGGGGAGAAGGAAGGATAAAGGCAGAAATGTAGATGATATAAAAACAAGCATATCAATAAAAGTTTATTTTAAAAAGAAAAGGATGAGATGTTGGAGGGATGAAGAGGGAGAGGAATAGAGGCTTTGAGATGGGGCATGGGTAGGGAAGGGCTAAGGAACAGAGTCTCAGAACAGGCGAGAGATGGAGAGGGAGACTTCTTGGCAAACACAGGCCCTGGCCCCCTTTCCCCTCCCCAAGATGATGCTAGCCCAGCCGCGGTGAGCCGGAGGAAGTCACCACAGGCCTGGGGTGGGTTTGAGGTACGAGAGGCTGAGTGATGTGGCCAGAGGTGAGCTCCCTGGCTGGAGAAGGCTGTGGTCAAGAGGAAGGAAAGCTGAGTGGTGAGGGAGGATGGAAGGAAGGCAGAAAGGATTTGGAACATGGATGGAGGTCGGGCATGTCAGGGGCTCAGGCGCTCACGCTCCCAAGTAGGGCCTCAGTGATCTGAGTGGGGGGACCAAAAGTGGGGAGAGGTGACGTGTCCCAAGGCCTCAGGATGGAAGGCTCAGCAGGGCATGGCTTGTCCCGGGCTACGGCCCAGGGAGCCTCTCGAAATGTCTCAACAGCTAGAGGAAGTTGCGAGAGGACAGCTCGGCAGCAGCCTACGGTAAACTTTTCCAGCCTAAAGCTCAAGCTGTCTCCACTGTCCCCTCCCCTTGGTCCCAGTCCCGGGGGAAGGGAGCTCCAGCCTTGCCTCACCTTCTTGCCCCAGGCCCCAGGTGGGTCTGCTCGTGGGAGGATGTAGGGTGCAAGCTATGGGAGCCGCCTGACTGCCAGCTGGGGCTGGATGAGGCTGGGCTGCAAGAACACCCACCCCACGCTTCCTGTTGCCAGACAGACCCAGGATTGCGTTAGAGGCTTTGCTGGCTCCCCTCCCCCTCCTCCAGACAGACAGCTCAGAAGGATGGGGGCTGATGAGGGGGTGAAGAATAGCTAAGGCCCTCAGACCCGGCCCCCAGAAACCAAGGCCACATGTGTCCCATGATGTCCAGCCTGCCCTCCCCTCTGGCAGGCCTATGCCCAGGGCTGGGCGGCCCTCCTTGGTCCTTAGAAACCCCCCAGGGTCCCTCTTTTCCTCCACATCTTGGCTAGGGGTCAGGGCTCCAGCTCCCTTCAAGGCCCAGCTTAAGGGCTACCTCCTACAAGAAGCCTTTCCTGATTATCCCAATGTCTCAATGCCCCATCCCCTGTTACTCTCTAGCCATTTACACTGATGCCTGGGGACATGTTGTTTGCCCTAGTAGAATACAGACTCCCTGAGGGAAGGGACTATTGGGTGTCATGTTGTCCTTGTGTCCCCAGAGCCTCACACAATGCCTGGCACACAGAAGACGGTTAACAAATGCTTGTGGAATTGCGCTGCTTTGCCACCAGCTAACTGTGCGACCCAGACAAAATCAGTGCCCTTCTCTGACCTTCATTATCTTCATCTATCAACCTGAAAGGGTCGAACAAGATGCTGGGGTTCTTCTCCTTTTTTGTGTCATGGATTGCTTTGGCAGTTCGGTGACCCCATCTCAGAATAATGTTGTTTTTAAAGGCATAAACTAAAACACCTAAGATTGTGAAGAAAACCAATTATAATGAAATACAGTTATCCAAATACCAGGTGCCTGAAAAGTCTTAGTGCAATTTTAAGTGATTAGAACTTGTACTTAAAAAGCCTGTTCACACTCTCCAGGTTAAGAGCCCCTGGCCTGCATGGTCTTTAAGGTACTTTTCAGCCTAAGACTCTTTGAGTCGCCCGGCTGTGATCAGGGTGTGTTCAGAATGGGTTCCATCCATTGCGTCAAGGTGGGCGGTGAGATTCAGCCCTATCCTGGGCTTGGGCAGTGGAGGGCAGCCTGAACCTCTGCCTGTCTGGCTTTGACCCCTGGGAGGAGAGAACATTTGTTCTCTTGGAGTCTGACCCATCCCCTTCCCAGAATCCCAGGAAGGGCTCACGTCCCCGTCCCCACCCCCATCCCCATTGCCCGCACTCTGACATTATTTCCAATTTATCTCATCTGTAGCCTATTTGGAAATAGTTACTTGCGTGTTGCATCGCCTGTTACACTGTGACCTCCTTGAGGGACGAGACTGTGTTTTTGATTTGTTTGTATCCCCAGTGACCATTAGCCCAGGGTCTGACACGTTTCAAATGGTCATTTGCTGATTATCAACAGTTGACCATTTCCTTCTGATTCCACTGGGTTCCCGAGGCGCTCCTTGCCTTTCCTTCTCTCTAGAAGATTCACAGGATCATAGGAGTTAGAGTTGGGATGTATTTTTAGGTCATCTAGACCAACCCCCTCACCTCATAGATGAGTAACTGAGGCCCAGGGTGATAAAGCAACGTGTCTGTTGTCATGCAGCTTATTAAATGGCGGGGAGGATTGAAACACAGGTCCTCTGACTCCACTATACCAAGTGGCTTAATTCTGTTGGGCCCTATTTTGGGGCCGAAGAATCAGGAGGTAAGTGTTTTTTTTCTGAAGCCACACAGATAGGAAGTGTCAGATCTGGGATCTGAATCCAGAACTCTAGATCCATTTCTAGAGTTTGGTATCTGTCTCAAGGAATAGACCTCCAGTTAGGTCTTAATGGAGGCTTCCCTAATCAATTAATTCTGAAACGCTGCCAAGGAACAGCCTATCTGAGGCTGATAAACACAACCCAGGCCTGCCTGCGTCCGCCAGTCAGTCAAGTACCACTTATTAAGCACCTCTATGTTCTAGGCCCTGTGCTAGGGTCCCTCCCTTCCATCCATTATCAGCCCCTCCTCTGCATCTTCCCTTCTCTTTCTGTCTCCTTCACTTTTTTCCTTCTCTTTCCCATCTAGGTTCTTCTTTCTCTATTTTTTTCTGTTCTTCCTTTTCCTCTTCTTTTGTACCCTTAGGTCCCCTCCTCCTTTCTTCATTTCTTCTGTTTCTTCTTTCCTTTCTCTTCTTTTCCCTTCCCTTCTCTCTTTTCTTCCCTTTCTTTCCCTTCCCTTCCCTTCTCTCCTCTCTTCCCTTCCCTTCCCTTCCCTGCCTTTCCCTTCTCTTCCCTTCTCTCTTCTCTTCCTTTCCATTCCTCTTTTCTTTTCTTCTCTGTTCCTCCATCACCTCTCTCACACAACCTCCCTCTTTTTTCTCCCCTCCACTTCCTTTTCTCTTTCTCCATCTTCTTCCCTTGTCCTCTTTCCTCATCCAGTTTTTTCCATTCTGCTTCTATAACTTTTCTCACCTCTTTCCTCTCTTCTCCATTTTCCCTGGTCACCACTCTAGTTCAGCTTCTTATCACCACCCACTTAGGCTGTTGAAATAAGTTTCTAGTAGATCTCCTGCCCTTTGCTTTCTTTCCCCCTTTAATCCATCCTTCATATTGCTGCCAGGTTTACCATGCACTTTTTCTTTTTAAAAAAATTCTAAATTAAATTTTATATTCTTCTCCTACCTTTTCTTACATATAGAGCTAGCTAAGGCACTCCTCTGCTCAAAAACCTTCAGTAGCTCCTTCTTGTCTACCAAGTGAAGTCCAAACTCTCCTGCTCTCCATAACGTGGGCCTGATTTATCCTTTCTGGCCTTAATTAGCCCTACACTAGATGACCTTGATTCTCAGTCTAGCCAAACTGGACTACTCACCCAGCCCAGTTCATGTCTCGTGCTTTCCCACCTCCGTATTTTTGCCCATGCTGTTCTCTGTCCCTGGAATGCCCTCTCCCTCCCTGCCCACTGAATCCTTGGCCATGCTTTAGAACAGCTCAGAAGCAAGCTTCCTTGATTTCCCTCCCCCACCCACACCCCCATGATCTTTCACCCCCGCTCAGGGTTCACATAACACTTGCGTGTGTCTCTCATAAAATTCTAGGGTCACAGATTCAGAGTTGAGGGGAGTCACAGAAGCCGCCAACCCCCTCATTTTACAGATGAAGAAAATGAGGCCCAGGAAGGTCATACAGACTGTAAGAGTCAGAAATGGGATTTAAGCCTGGATTCTGTGAGTCTGGAGCCAGGGAACTTTCTACATCCTCCTGGGGACCTTAGGAGTTATCTAGCCCAACCTTCTTGATTTCCAGCTAAGGAAACATGTCCCAGTAGATGAAGTGGCTTGCCCAAAGTTACACTGAATGCTATTGGAGAGAGAGTTGGGACAAGATCTTGGCCACCTAACTCTTCATCAAAGACTTCCTGGGGGAAGAAGGTGATTTCTCTGACCATGAAAGCCCAAGAAAGGTTTTGTGTTTTCTTGTGGACTTACGTGCAATATGGCGCATTATTATTATTTGGGCACATCATTCTTTGTATTTGATTGGAAGCTCCAACAGGGCAGGCACTGTCTTACTCACTCTGTCCTCTCCTCCAGCCCAGCACAATGCTTTAAAAATATTTTCACCTGTGGCAAAAACAGTTGGGGGGCAGGTTGGTTACAGCTCAGAAGTGGGGTACCTCTCGGGTACAGGTGTACTGGGGTTAAGTCTGACCTTTGACCCCAAGGGTGTTGAAGGCGAAGGTGAAGGCAGACCTGGGAGATGGTGCCACAGTGACAGAGCCGTGGGAGTGGCAGGTGCTCCATCCCACATCTTGGGCTGGTGAGAGAACCCGCTTCACCCCTTCCCTTGGGGGGGAAGCCACGTATGCCCTGTTCCCATTATTACTCTGACTCTGGAGATTTGCCAAATTGCATTATCCAGTAGAACCCAAGATCCACCTCCTCAGTAGCCCTGACTCCTGTGCCTACTCTTCTCTGAATTTTGGGAATTCCCTAGCCTGGGGGTAAAAGGGCCCTAGTCTTCAGGTAAAGTGGAAAAGAAGAAAAAAAGACTTCTGACTGGGGGGCAAACTCATCTAACTATGGGGTATTTGTGTGTGAAGAGGAATTCTGGGCATACTTTCTAATATTTTGGATAGGCAGCCTGTGTCTAAGAAAGCTAAACTTGAGGTCAAGAACTGCCTCAGCACTTAATAGCTGTGTCACTATGGGCCAATCATTATCACCTCTCTGAGCCTCAGTTTCCTCATCTCTAAAATGGAATACTTGGATTAAAAGGCCAAGCTCTAAATCATCGATCCTTCTTTTGGGGATTTCTTCATGGTGTACATGACCCACCCCAACTTCCACCTCTTTGAGGCCAAGGGGCTGGGGTGTTGCTTACCTTTGAATCCCCAGAATCAAGTAGAAAGTCTTGCTCCTGGTTGGTGCCTAATAAACAACGACAATAAGTCACTTTTTTTTTTTGGCTAGGCAATGGGGTTAAGTGACTTGCCCAAGGTCACACAGCTAGTAAGTGTTATGTGTCTGAGGCTGGATTTGAACTCAGGTCCTCCTGAATCCAGGGCCTGTGCTGTATCCACTGCACCACCTAGCTGCCCCATAAGTCACATTTCTTTAGTACTTTAAGGTTTATAAGATGCTTTAGTCAGGGCAACCCAAGGAAGTGGGCTAGGCAAGTATTATGATGCCCATTTTGCAGATAAGGAAACAGAAGCTCTGAGACAGTAAACAACTGCCCATGATCACAGATCACAGAATTTGGGAGCTGGAAGGGGACTCGGCAGCAACCTAGTTTGACCCATACAAGAAAGTGAATAGCCACCTGACAAATGGTCATTCAGCCTCTGCTCCAAGATCACCTAAAGAGAGGAAACCCCTCACCTGCCAAGGCAAACCATCCCACTTTGGGACAGCTCTAATCGTTAGGAAGCTTTCTCCAGACATATCGATCGCACAACTAAAAAGCGTCTAAGAAGCGACTCCAGCCCAGGTCCGCAGTCTCCAAGTCCTGTGCTCTGTTCACTGTGGTAGGCTGCCTATCATAAGTACTGGCTACGGACTCTGAGATGCCAGGCTCCTAAGGAGTAGGACCTTCTACGTGGGCTCTAAACTCTAGGTGCAAACAGGCATTTAATAAAAGCTTTCTGATGGTGAGAGAGGCGTTTTCTTTCTTTCCCCTTGTCTGACTGTATGGTCCACAGGAAAACAGCCCTGCTAATCCGGACAGGCCCACACGACCCATGGAGCATCTGTGCATGCCCGTGTGTGTGTGTGTGTGTGTGTGTGTGTGTGTGTGTGTGTGTGTGTGTGTGGCTCCCATTCATACACAGCTCTTACTCTGGGGGCCCCAGTTTCGTGACAGATAAACAACAAAGAGCAGAGCCAGATGCAACGCTCATCATAGATTTTTAGATCTAGAAGGAACCTTAGAGCTCAGGAAGACTACCACCCTGCATAGCTGAGGAATCTGAGGACTGCTGGGGGTAGAGATTTGGCTAAGGTCATCCAGATGGGGGGAGACAAAACCAAGACTGGACCCATTCTTCTGCCTCTTAGGCCAGGGCTCTTCCACGCTGAGCTAAATCTCCTCTCCCCCTAACCCTCCACCCCTAACCATCTCCTACACTGGAGTCAAAGGACCTGGGCTCAAATCCCACCTCTGACACTACATGTATGACCTTAAGCAAATCACATTACCTGGGCCTCAGTTTACTCATCTGTAAAATAAGGAAGTTGTCCTAGATGTTTATTGAGGTCCCTTCCTACGATCCTACGATCTTAAGTGTGAGCCTGACTAAGGAGAGCCTTGCCAAGGGAACCAGGAGGGAGGCACGGCCCTTCTGCTCTAAAGCTAACGGAGAACGAGAGCTTAGAACAGGGCCCCTAGAGAAGGGGAACAAGAGCAATCTGCTTCCAGCTGGATGAACTGGAGCCAAGCAATCTGGAGTATAGCAGGTCAGAGGATTTAGAAATGGAGAGGACCTGAGAATGGGAGGGACCTGAGAACAAGGAATGTCAGAGCTGGGAGGGACCTGAGAACAAGGAATGTCAGAGCTGGGAGAGATCTTAGAGGTCTTCTAATCTAAGCTCCTCATCTTGCAGATGAAGAAACTGAGGCCTAGAGAGGGAGAACAGCCACTTGGGCTCCAGCTTAGAAGAGTTTTCAAACCTGCAGAATGGGTCACAGGGAAGTGGGTTTTCTAGGCAGTGTCCCCCTGAACTGGTTGCAAAGCTGGCATGGAATGGAGCTGGATGCTTCATAGGGCCGGTCTGGAAGTAGGGACCCCAGGGATCTCAATGGAAAGGATGGTATGTGACCTCAGGTTCTCGGGCTGAGGGAAAGGAGGTTGGTGTGACCAGGGTGAGGGAGGAAGCTGGCACGGATGCCTGTGATTCACCGCATACCTGTGATCTAGGCTGGGGCCCCAGCTCCACAGAGAAGCTGCTACTGCTTCCCCTAGGAAGGGCCTGGAGGCCAAGGGCGGCGTGCCTGTGAGTCCTCATCACGGTGAAGTTCCTGCTTCCTCAGCATTTTCCCAATCCCCTGAGATGTCCGCCATGGTCCTGTCCCCCAGAACCTTAGAACACAGAATGTTAGTCTGGAAGGTGCCTCAGAACCCTGATCTCCCTGTTCCAGGTCTGCCCCTCCCACCCCCCAATCCACTCTCCACTCAAGTGCCATGCTGACTTTTCTGAAGTGTTGACTTGACCCCATTACCCTTCCTGCCCAATGAACTTCAGAGGGTCGCTATTACCTTCAGGATCAAAGAGAAATCAGCTCCTCTCTCTGATACTTAAGGCTCTTCATGACCTGGAGCCTTCTTACCTTTCCAGCCTTCCCACATTCTGTGCCCCTCCATGCTCCCAAAACCCTGGCCCACCTGCTTTTTGTTAGCTAGAACACTACCTCTGTCATCTCTATCCTTTTGTGCTGGCTGTCTCCCCCACCCCACCCTCACCCCCAAGTCTGGAACATTCTGTCTTCTCATAGCTGCTTTTTAGTTTCCATGGCTTCCTTCCAAACTCACATCAAAGCCCCCCTTGTGCAGGAGACCTTCCCCAACATTGCCCAGCGGCTAACACCTTTCAATGACCTTTTTTTTCTACTCAGGACACAGAACATCAGAGCTGGAAGATGCCTTAGAACACAGAATATGAGAACTGGAAGAAACCTTGGCACACAGAGCATAGGATGGCAGAGCTGGAAGGGGCCTTTGAGCATAGACTATCAGAGCTTAGAACATAGGACATCAGAACTGGACTTTAGAATGTAGAATGTCAGGGCCAGGGAAGTCCTTAGAACATGGAACATGGAGTACTAAAACCGGGAGGAACTTTAGAATACAAAACCAAATGAAAACAGTGCTGGCCACATGGGAATCAGGTTGGGCTCACCCCAAGGAGATCTCACAGGGGACCTGGGGGTCATTTTGCTACAGGGAGCCATGGCAATACCAGCCATTGCCATGCCTGGCTGGAAGGCCTCTAGGCCCCACCAGACCTTTGGGGGAAAGGGCCAGGTCTCCCAGGCATTGGTCTCAGCCCTCTCCTCCCCCTCCTAAACCCACTGCCCCCTTTCAGGCTTCCCCCCAGCCCCCAGAGGGCTGCCTGCTTTCTCTGAGCTGGTGGCTCTGGCCTGATGGCCTTTCCAGCCTGGTCTCCTCCTGCCACCTGCCTCAGGGGCCAGCCAGAGACTTCCTGTAGCGCAAGAGATTTATGCAAACGGGCTAGGGTGGTGATGTCACCCTGGGGGGGACTATCTCCCAGCTACAGGCCCTTCGATAAAATCAGGAACTTGGGCTGCTTTGCAATGTCAAGGGAGGGGGCTCACGTCGGGATCAGCCAGGCCAAGGGGCAGGACTGAGGCTCCTTCGAAAGCTGCCCTGCCCGCCCCCACTGGGTGTCCGCCTCCCACCCCCAGCCCCACCAGACCTGACCCCGTGGCTCCCAATGCCCAGGGGCTCCGGAGTGGGCCCTGCCGAGGCAGGGGAGCTGACGGGCCCTGAGATCGGGTGGATGTTGCAGGCGTGCAAGATGGAAGGGTTCCCCCTCGTCTCCCCTGTGAGTATGGGGGCTCCCTCCCCCTCCTCTTCCAGCCCCCTCTGGTTTCTAATCAGTGGGAAGCTGGTGTTTCCTCCCTGGGGGCCCTGGCTGAGAAGATTGGGATGCAGCTTTTCCCCGGGTTATGCCCTGGAGGGCTAAGGACTGACGAAAGCTTAGTTAGGGACCGAGGGTGGGAGGAATGGGGGCGAATGGGGGCCAACGGGTGCCGAGAGTTGGATGGTGGTGGGGTCCATGCTAAGGGCCCCTGCCCGGTTATTTCTAACCTGGAACTGTGTGGGCTTGGCACCAAGACTAGATGGAGCCCAGAATGGAGAGGCAGAGACGACAGAGGGTGGGGCATCCAGGGCCTGGGTCGGGGGCTGTGTGTGGATCAATGGAACAGGAACCCCCTGCACCTTGGGACAGAAAGAAGGGGATGGAAGAGGGAGTAAGGCTAAAGTCAGGGAGAGGAGCGAA